AGGAAGTGAAATTTATTCTGGTATCATCAAAACCTTGAAAAGGGGGGATGGCAGCCAGGTACAGTGGCTCACTCACATCCTCCCTGCTATTCAGGAGGCCAAGACGGGAGGATCCCTTGAACCCAAATCTTGTTAATCAACCCCTAAGGCCCTCATCTATTCAGGAGGTCAAGACAGGAGGATCCCTTGAGCCCGAATCTTGTTAATTAACTCAAAAGGCCCACATCCTTTCTCTTCTAAGCCCCATCTTAGTCAGCATCTTGTGGTCTCTAAAATATCAGTGGGTCTGAGACTTTAACCTACTTGCAGGCTAACAAGTTATCCTACCACAGTTTCATGTAAGATTCTTGGATCAGAGACAAAACATAGTTTATTATTGACAGCAATAGCATTAGCCAGAGTGGGAACATTTGGACCAATTCCCTGATCCTCACTTCCCATAGGGCAATATACAAATGGCCAGTAAGCCTTTCTGCATGTGGTTTAGGAGAGAAACCTTCTTCTCTGGACTTTAAACAAATCTGCCTTTTGCTTTGGAGGGAGACACTGTCTTCCAAGGTTGTTTGCTCTACAGACATCCTTGAAATGGTGGTCCAGGGCTGTATTTAGTGCCTCTGCTTGAAAGAGGGCGCCCACTGCAGCCAGAGATGTGAGGGAGGGAGAAACAAAGCTCCCAACCTGCCCTTTTGCTGGACCCCAAGTTGTGTGGGTTGACCTCTGAGAATATCTTGCTCCTCTTTCTGCTCCACGACTTCTTCCTGTGGAATCACTTGTAAGTTCTGGCACTTTTCCCTTGGAATTGTATCTGACCTGTGTATGTTTTTTGTCTTTTTCATATACAACTTTTCATTCTTTCTTAGATGATCTCACAGCTGGTGTCTCTGGTCAGCCATCTTCATTCACTAAGCTCTCCTGTTCACTTTTAACGGATACAATGCCTTCATTTATTTTTTTGAGCAACTACAATGTACATTTATTTGAAGATGTATATTAGAGTTTTCCAGTGTTTCAACTGATACGCACTTCTTTTCCAGTTGTTAATTTTAAGATTTATTAATGTCTTCAAAGTTTGTTTCATAAATTAGAGTGAAGAGATGTTTTTATTTTATTCTCTTTTTTTTGAGGCTGTAGGTCTTTTGTGCTTGCACCTCAGTTTGTGTCTGGCTACCTAGACCTTTACACCAGAGCTGAGTCTTAGTGGGTTTCGTAGTTTACTATTTTGCGTTGGTCATGATCTAGCAGGAAACATGGCTCAGGTCTAGGTCAGGAGGATGTATCTTACACATACACACTTTGGAAATATGAGGTGAGAGAGCCGAAAGTGTAAGAAGCTGCTGTCAGTGGACTGCATGGTCATCAATAGGAACATAAAATTTAAAGGTAGAGCAGTATGTATGTGTGATGGCAAGGTCTATAATACATGCGCCTTTAAATAATCAACACTGAATTCCAAGGTCAAGAGGTGGCTGGTACATCTTTGGAAAAGACACTTACTGCGACATAACATATTTGTGCAGCTTTTGATGTTTGCCTAGATAAGATTCTCTGTGTTATGTCTCTGAAGGCAGTGAGCATCTGGTAGGCAGCAGGAAGCTATTGTATAGATTCAGCGAGATGGAACATTTATCTTAAACCTTTTTTACTCTACAGTATGTGATATTTCAAATGATTCTACTAAGTGAAGTATGCAACCCAGCTTTTAACTAGCTAATTTCTCTTAAAAGTGTATCTCCATGTATAACTCACCTATTAATAGTAACCATTCATGTCATACATTAGCATTTGCACAGCTGCTGAATTTAATCTTCATAAATCAATCTAAGGAGTTTTCATTTATTATTCTCTTCTTTCACAGAGTAAGTTGGCAAGTGACTTGCCAATCATTTTATACTTAGCAGCCACTATAGTCCCTTTATGTCATAGCCCACCGCTTGTCAGGGCCAGTGACTGGCCAGGTTTCATCCCGGCTTATCTAGATTCCCTACTCCTCTATGCTATTATCTCACTTAGGTGCCTGAGGGCTATTTACTTTAGTAGAAGGGAAGAGAGAGAGAGAAGGAGAGAAGGATAGTCTTTGAGGGTAAAGCAGTCTTAGAATAGACCTTGACAGTGGTTAGCAGAGCTTAGTTCAGCAAAGAGATGCTGCTCTGGTGTTCTGCAAGCAGGAGAGGAGACATAGTCAGAGTAAGGGGTCTGTGATAGAATGAGCTCACTCTGTACTGCCTTCTCCTCCAGCCTGATATAAGGCTGATCTCGTGCCTCTCAACACCACAGGTGTAGAGACTGCCAATTCACCACTGCTCTCATCTCACAAGCTCTCTCATGCTTGTTAGGAGAGCCAAATCCCTCCTCATGCCCTTTTCACAAAGATATTCCATTATTGAGCTATATAGATGTTATTTATAAGTCTCAGTCCTCCTAGCCATAGGCTATACGGGCTGCTACACTTTTTGTTTTAAAATTTGAACTTTTAATTTTGAAAAAAAATTCAACATAAAGAAATGTTTAGCCAGGCTTAGTGGCTCATGCCTATAATCCTAGCACTCTGGGAGGCCAAGGCAGGTAGATTGCTTGAGCTCATGAGTTTGATACCAGCCTGAGCAAGAGTAGGACCCTGTCTCTACTAAAAATAGAAAAACTGAGGCAAGAGGATCACTTGAGCTGAAGAGTTAAGAGGTTGCTGTGAGCTATGATTCCGCCATGGAACTCTACCTAGGACAACAGCTTGAGACTCTATCCCCCACGTGCCACCGCCCCCACCCCTGAAAAAAAAGAAAAATTTAAAAACACAATGGACTCTTATGTATCTGAATTACTTGGCTAGGACTGCCTTACATAGCACCACTAGGTGGCTTAAACAACAGAAAATTATTTTCTCATAGTTCTGAATGCTGGAAGTCTGAGATTAAGATGTCTGTAGAGTTAGTGTTTCTGAAGCATCTCTCCTTGACTTGGAGATGGCTGTTTTTCTCCCATTATCTTTACATGGACTTGTCTATATATATCTGTGTCCTAACTTGTTTTTATAAAGTCAACAGTAATGTTGGGTTAGGGCCTTCCTTAATGACTTCTTTTAACTTAATTATCTTTTTAATTACCTATCCCCAAATATAGTAACATTTTGAGGTGGTAGAGCTTAGGACATCCATGTGTGAATTTTAGGAGAGAACAGCTCAATTAATACTATCTTTCACTTAGATTTTAGCAGTTATTAACATTATGCCACATATAATTTTTCTTCATTTTTCTCCTCATTTTGCTGAGACATTTAGAAGTGAGTTGCAGATGCCATGTCCCTTTACCCCAATACAACATTGATATAATACTTTTACCTAATAGAGTTTATATTCAGATTTTACAGTTGCTTCAGTAGTGTACTTTATAGCAGTTTTTTCCTGATTCAGGATTCAATCCCATATGATATATTATACCTAGTTATGGTAACTTCAGTCTCTAGTAGTTTAGAATAGCCAACTAAAGTTTTTTACTTTATTTTGTACTTTTTATGGACTAGCTCTGAATTTTGAATAGTATAGTATTTCCTCATCAAGTTCAGTACTGCATTTTTCTTTCCAGTATATCACTGGGAGGAATTTGGTGTCATGTTTTTCTTACTCTTTCCTTCTGCTGAGCATTCGTCCATCTATTGCTCAGTCCCTTACTCTCTATATCATATCACGACTTCTGCTTACTACATTCTCTCTGGCCATGTCTTCTGCCTTTTTTGGTTGAGCTTGTTTATTTTTGGCACTAAGTTTCACAGCTTTCTCTATTGAATACAAATCAGGTCTCCACTTCTTATTTTAGCCCAGCATTTTTTTATTCTCCAGAGCTCCTGGAATCAATTCATTATTTATCAGGTATTGTACATATTTGCTATTTTCTACATATGGTGTGATTTTTGTTTGTATTTAGTTTGCCTTTTATTTATTTATTTTTTGAGACAGAGTCTTACTTTCTCACCCTTAGTACTGTGGTGTCAGCCTAACTTAAACTCTTGGGCTCAAATGATCCTCTTGCTTCAGCCTCCCAAGTAGGCGCCTCAGGCGCCCATCACAATGCCCAGCTATTTTTAGAGATTGGGTACTGCGCCTGCTCAGGCTGGTCTCAAACTCCTGAACAATCCACCCGCCGTGGCCTCCCAAAGTGCTAGGATTATAGGCGTGAGCCACTGCACCTGGCTAGTTTGACATTTTAAATCCTGTTAATATTTCTAATAAAGAAGAATATTGTTGCCGCCTGTCTCCATTAAAAGTATTCCTATAGATGGAATCTAGTGAGTCTCAATTTAATGAGAAAGAATTTCTTTAGGCTTTAATATTACAGTAACAATTATTGACATAATGTTTTTGACATACCATCATTAAGTAGTGTACTAAACTAATAATTTATCAACAAATCTGAATATGAGTCCCAGCATTGTGATATTTCTTTGAAGCCTAGGGCCAGTTACTCAAGCTGTCCAAGTCTGTTCTTTCACTGCCTAGATAAAGATAGTAATAGTCTCCTAGATTGGTAAGATTAATATTTATTACATGTCTGGTGTGTAGAATGTGCTCACAAATTCTACATTATTCTTCAGTATTATTATAGGTTAATGTTAGTAAACTTCAAGTTCGTTTCTGCAGTTTAAAAGTAGTGTGCTTATGAAATTGATGCTTACATCATGTTTAAACTAGTTACTAACAGGTGAGAGCTAGGTACTAACAGATGGAGCATGGTGGTTAAGAACATAGATTCCAGGTCCAAATTTCAGTTCCACAGCTTGTTACTAGCCTGACTTTGGACAGGTTACTTAAATGCCCTGTGCATCACTTTCCTCACCTTTTTAAAGAGCTTAATAATAGGACTTTTCTCCCAGGGATGTTATGAGGAATCAATCAAATTAGGTATGTAAAAATTTTAGAATGGTCACTGATACTTAGTTGCTGTGTGCCAATTTTGGCTATTATTATTATTGAATTTGTTGTTGAGTAAGTTATTTTTTAATCACTTTTTAGGTGAATCTTGGAAGCAACCAGTATCTTTTCTCTGTCATACTGGATCCTAAAGAAATGCCCTGCTTCTGTTTGCGCCATGATGTCGACGCCCTTCTCTGGCAGCCTCACTCCAGCAAACAAGAGGATATGTGGGAGCACGTTGCAACTTTCAATGCTTTAGGTATAAAGCAAAACCTTTAGTAACATTTTCCATTATGTCAGGAATTACAATCACTTTTTTTTTTAAATTCTAAATTGATGTAGAGGATACAAGTGATTTTTGTGACATGGTAGAATTGCTTAGTGGAGAAGACTAGGCTTTTAATATACCTGTCACCTGAATAGTGTACCTTGTACCTAATAGTTAATTTTTCATCTCACAGCCCCATTTCACCCTCCCCCTTCGGAATAGCCAGTGTCAGTTAAGTCACTCTGTATGACCATGCATACCCATTCCTTAGCTCTCACTTGTAAGTTAAAATATGTGATATTTGGTTCTTTGTTCCTGAGTTACTTCCTTTAGAATAATAGCCTCTAGTTCCATCCAAGTTGATCCGAAAGATGTTATTTCGTTCTTGCTGATGGCCAAGTAGTATTCCATGGCATATGCCTATATATTCCCTGGCGTTTGTGTGTGTGTGTCATATTTTTTAATCTAGTTGTTGGATATTAGGCACTTATCTTGGTCCTGTATCTTTGCAGTTGTGACTTGTACAGGGATAAACATGGGCACAGGTGTTTTTATAATAAAACTACTTCTTTGCCTTTTGGTAGGAAAAAAATCCCTAATGGTGGGATTGCTGGATCAAATGGTAGCTCTCCTTGTAGTTCTTTAAGAAATCTCCATACTATTTTTCATAGAGGGTGCACTCATTTACATTCCCACCAACAGTGTGTACACGTTCTATTTTTATCTCATCTGTACCAGCATCTGTTGGTTTTTGACTGTTTAAAGCAGCCTTTCTGACAGAGGTAAGGTGATGGTATCTCACTGTGGTTTTAATTTGCATTTTCCTAATGATGTTGACCATCTTTTCATATATTTGTTGGCCATTTGTTTCTTTTTTGAAAATGCCTATTTACATCTTTCTGCCCACTTTTTGTTTGTTGTTTTTTGCTGATTTGAGTTCCTCATAGAGTCTGAATACTAGGCTGTTGTCAGATGTTTAGCATGAGAATATTTTCTCTCATTTTGTAGGTTGTCTGTTTAATCTGTTAATTATATCTTTTGCTACACAGAAACTTTTTAGTTAAATTAAGTCCCATTTGTCTATGGGGGGGGGTTTGTATTTGCTTTTGGGATCTTACTCATAAATTTTTTGTGGTCTCTGTCCTTTGGGTGCATAAAACCTCCACCTTGACCCAGCTACAGCAGAAGTGGTAGGGGAGCTCTGTCTGCTGCCTGCAGGGTAACCAGATTGGCTGTTGGCTGAAATAATCCAATGGCGGAGCTATGTGTGGGCCAAGGACTTGCCTCCAGGAGGGTAGGCTCCTTCCAGAAGAGAAAGGCAGCTTGGAGAGAGGACTGCTAACCCCACCTTCCCTCGGGGGAATTGATAGGTCTAGTCTTTGGGGAATATAAAAGTCCCTGCTGTTGGTTTTTAGGGGAACAGAGTATGCACCAAGCTTTGTGGAATCCTGGGTATGGGGCAGCTGCTCCCAAGAACAGCTTAATCCTCCCCCATGGATCCCTTGCCACTCCTGAGCAGAAACAGCCATGGCTGCCTGGGCAGCAGCAGGCAGGGAATGGGAAGAGGAGGAGAAGGCCCCAGGTTGGGGGCAGTTAGTCCCTGGTCTGCTTTATCTTAAGGAACCCCCTTGCATGCTGCACTCTCTTTTCAGCTAGAAGTGGCTATCCCTGAATGCCCAAGTTCTAGGAGACCCACAGTTTCCTGACATCTACCAGTCTGTGCTGTGGTCTAAGTAGGTCCTAGGAAACTTTGGCCAGCAGTGTTGAAACCCAGGGTCTGAGATTCCCAGGTTGAGGCATCTATAAAAGTAATGCCTTGTCCCTGAAGGAAAAGAAATGAGCCATACCCTCCGTGCAGAATCCAGGTGCAGTGAGCAGAGTACTATTGGGGTGTTCCCTGTACCTTCCTCCTTCCTGCTAACCTAGAACTGGTTGTCCCATAGCTCACTCACACCAATGGCTCCTACTTCAGAACAGAGGCACCAGTGTCCACCACATTAGAGTGATTTGAGGAGAGCCCATCTCTAGACCCCTTCCTGGGCTGCCCAGCTTTAAACTCCCAGAATGGTACTGTGGGCCTTGTTGGTTGTTTTTTTAAGTTCACTTCTCTTTTTTTTTTTCTTTTTAAATTCTAAGTGTCCTAATTACATTTAGATTGATTTGTGCTATAATCAGGTTACTTTTATTGTAGTTGATAAATGTTAGTACTATTGCACCATTTGAATTAATCTGTTTTTATGCTTATAAAGAAAATCAACACGGAATACAAATGAAAAGTGGTTATATAACCACTTGAATCACTCTAATCAGTCATTTGTTTATTTAAAAAAATTCTGTAAGCTATGTAGTATTAAAATATGAACAAAGAGCTTGACAATACCCGATACATGGAATTTGTTTTTAAGTTTCTTTCTTTAGCGTAATCTTCAGAAACATTGCAGAATTGCTCTGAGGTAATGCTTACTAGGAAATACCTTTCATGGAACTTAAGTGCAAAAGAGAGCCCTTATAATGAAAATGCTTATGGAAAATGGAAATAACCAGAAAATAAATGTATTTGGTAGGATAAAAGGAAAATATCAGTTTTAAAACTAGGGTTGAAACCCTACTTAAAACCCTACTTTAAACCCTACTTAAAACCCTACTTAAAACCCTACTTTAAACCCTACTTTTAAAACTACTTAATATATCCAATCATTGATTTTATATCAAAATGCATTAGTATTATATGAGAGAAATTTTTTCTGTAACTTAAGATGCCACAGTTATTGCTTTATGGAAAGATTATTTTACACTGGCAGCAGGAAATAAAACTATGCATTTTGATGGCTATATATGCACAACGGTGATTGTAGCGATTTGTCAATTATCCCTTATGGTTAATAATGTAGGCTACTCTAAGCTGGTTAATTGAGATTCACAATGGATTTTTATTTCCTGAAGTTCAAAGTTCAATCTAATTTTACTATATAATTTCTAGACTTCCTACTATAATTCCTATTTTTTTATTCTCAATCCATTTTCTTTAGTAAAGGAAAATCCCATCATATAATTTTTAGGTGTTCAACTTCTCCATTTAAATCCCCAAATCACTTAAGATAACGGAATTCTACCATGCTCAATTTTCAGTTGAAGCAACAATTACATTAAATATGTATTTCTTTTTCTTTTTTTTGGAGAGACAGAGTCTTATTTTATTGCCTTTGGTGGAGTTCCATGGCATCACACAGCTCACAGCAACCTCCAGTTCCTGGGCTTAGGCGATTCTTTTGCCTCAGCCTCCCGAGTAGCTGGAATTACGGCTATAATGCCCAGCTATTTTTTAGTGTATTTTGGCCGGGGGTAGGTTTGAACCCACCATCCTTGGTATATGGGGCTGGCGCCCTACACAATGAGCCATAGGCGCCACCCTAAATATGTATTCTTGAGATATTATACACATCATTCTGTCAAGGTTAGACTAGGGATAGATCTATTTATAACTATTTAAAAGGGTACTTCAAATCCTCTCCACATTTTTTTCTTTAAACCCTCCTTAGTGTTAAAAAGAAAAAAAATTCATCTGCCTATGCTCAATGGTTCTCTTGCTAATTCATTGTTTGGTGAGATCTCAATTTTAATTATTGTTATATTTTTTTATCTCATGACATACCTAAACCAGGTTGTAATCTGAAAATCTTAATTTATATCTCAGAACATAAATGTCCTTTTAGTTTATAAAGATACTTTTTAAACATGTGCATAAATTATAACATTGAGAATTTTTTTGTTAATTCTTAAAAAATTAAGAATTTTTTAATGAGATATTCTAATTTAAGTTTTTTAAATTAAAGACTTCAATTTTCTTTTTAGGTTATAGTGGTTCCAACTGCTACTTCTGGGGACTGAAGTACAACAAAATGCTGTTATAATGTTGGTATTAGAGTATAAAAATATTACTAACATTATAGAGATTAAAAGAATTCATTGTGAATATCAGTACCTGCAGGGCTGTGTTAGGAATAGGCCTTCCGGTGTGCATTCTGAATAGACTCCTGACATAACTTTATGATGGTATCTAACATTTTCCCATTGGATAAGAAGAAAAAAAATGATTCTGTGATACCATATCTGTAATTCATGAACCTAAATGTTAAATTGGCATTTAAAGATATTTTGGCATAGATTAGAATTTTAGTGTTTGAATTATTCATGGGAATTTAATGAAACTATGTTATGCTTTTGAAGAGATGAAGCTGCATCTGTTTTGATCCTTAGGAATTAAAGTTATATTTTTGCACTACTTAGGAAAGATTGTGGCTAATCATTACTGGTTCAGACTGCAATAGTTGTTGAACATTTATAGTATATATTTGACTTAGGCATTTTAATGTATAATAAAATACATTGAAAATGTTCAATCATGATTTTTCCCTTCTGTTTAAAATATCGTTTTTCTTTTGTTTGCCTCATATTCTTCACAGGCTATGTCCAAGCATCAAAGAGAGACAAAAAATTTTTCGCCTGTGCTCCAAATTACTCGTATGCTGCCCTTTGTGAGTGCCTTCGTCGAGTATTTATCTATCGTCAGCCTGTTCCTATGTCTACTGTACTTTACAACAGAAAGGAAGGCAGGCAAGTGGGGCAGGTTGCTAAGCAGCAGGTAGCAAGCCTAGAAACCAATGATCCTATTTTAGGCTTTCAGGCAACAAACGAGAGATTATTTGTTCTCACTACCAAAAACCTCTTTCTAATAAAAGTAAATACAGAGAATTAATTATTACAACAAATTGGCTTCTCCTTGGTGGAAAAGTATTCAGTGGTAGCTGGAGGTCTAGGCAGTTGTACTGTAACCTGTAATGTGTTAAGTAAAAAATACCTTATATGAACTTTTTATTTTTTAAAGAATATTGGAAATGTATTCAAAAGATTATGATTCTGTGAAAACTATGGAATGAAGCTACAGATTTAAAGAACATTGATCTCTGTAAAAATGTAAAGATAATATTAGTAAGTACAATTATTTTTTAAGGCTAGAATCTCTTCTTTTATATGGAAGATGTACAATTCAGTGTTTAAAAATAAAAAATATTTATCATGTGGTCTTTGTTCGTTAATTAGCTACTATTGTCTGTACTTACAGAATGTGTGGAATAATGATTAAAATGTTAAGTATTGTAAATACTTATCTAAACAGACTGAATAACAGAATATACAAGGAGGGAAGTGCAAGAGGACGGCAGACCTAATATTTTTAAAGTTTATTGACAGGTCTTAATTGTTTTTTCAAATATTATTGCTTTATTTAATTTTTATCTGTTTGCTCTGCCAAAGATAGAAAAATCAGATTATCCATTATCCATGATTCATAACAAACCATTCCAAAACTCAGTGGTTTAAATACAATGTTAATTATTTCTTGTGACTTAGTGAATTGGCTGACTCTGCTCTACATGGCCTCTCAGCTTCCAGTAGGCTAGACTTGGCTTCTTCCCATGGTGGAGCAAACATTCTAAGAAGGCAAGCCCAATATGCAAGAGGTTATCAAACCTGTATATCCATAAACTTGCAAATGTTCCATTGGACAAAGCAAGTCACGTGGCCAAGTCCAGAGTCAGTGTGAGAGGAGGCTGCACCCACAATACAGATGGCAGGAAGTATGATGCATTGAGGGCCATTGATATAACAGTCTATGCACAAGGACAAATTGTACTTTTTTTCTTGTAGTTCTTTTTATTTTTCTAAAAATTAAACGTAATAATGATATTTATACATTGTATTTTTTGCCATGAATTTTAGTTTTTCATATCTATAATATTTTTCCAAGTTTCTTTATGTTTGTATTTACTGGGAAATTTTTATTCCTTTTTATACCAGTTCAACATGTATGTTTATATAAACCTCAAGTTGGATTTTATATTTTAATAAGGAAGTTAATACCTTTGTTTAAGAGATAAAAGATGAAGGTAGAAGATAAAAGATAGAAAATATTGGTTTTTAACATAGTACATATCTTTTGCCTGTCTTAGCAAATACTTGGCTGAATTTTTTAAAAATGAAGGAAAATACAGGTTTGAGATAACAGAAGAGGAAAAAGATGGGACTTAGATACCTCCTCAAACCCTATGTCAGAATGCAGTTTCTTAGAAAGAAATATTAGGGTGCCAGATACAACAAGAAGAAAGGTCCTGAGAACTGGAGGTGATAATTGGAGTTCTAATAGTATTCTATTAGTAATAGGAAAGAGACAAGGTATCAGGCTTCATGAGATCGTGAACATAGGAAAAGAGAAAAATGTATGGTTGAACCAAAAACCAGAATAGTGACAATTCCAGAGCTGTTTAGTGTCATTGTAAAACTTCATGAAATAAAAGGCCATTTAGATAGTGAATTATTAAAACTATCATGTGAAAGTAGATATAAATTTTCTCTAACATTTTCCCCAAAGATAATACATACTCTCTAAGGCAGTGGTTCTCAATCTTCCTAATGCCGCAGCCCTTTAATACAGCTATTGTGGGTAGCAACCCACAGGTTGAGAACCACTGCTCTAAGGGAGTGTAAGACAAATGTATATTGATCTAGTGCTTACTTAGCCATATGACCATGTATACTATATATATGCAAATTTTAATAATCATCATTCTTTGTGCATGTAATTTTTTTTTTACATGGTTAATGTTGAATTGAAAACTGTCCCAATAATTAATCCCAAATATTGTTGCATGTTAACTATTGTTAATAGTAAAAGGTCTAGAGCAGTGATTTCATTTTAAACATGTGCATAAATTATGACATTGAGAATTTTTTGTTAATTCTTAAAATTTTAATTTAATTTTAATTCTTAAAATTTTTTGTTAATTCTTAGAATTTGTGTGCATACATTATGACATTGAGAATATTTTGTTAATTCTTTGTGTTTTCTTGAAGCGCTTCAGGGATTCCATAAACATTTAACTAGCTTAAACAATGTTCAAAACTTTTAAAAATAATAAACATCTATTTAAATGAGGTATGTACTGCAAGTGCAGTGAATGTAGTACATTGTATTTTTGTCAATTTTCACCATGTTACAAATAGGAATTTATTGAACATTTTCTGTAGTAATAAAGTAGTACCTTATGTTTTGCATAGTAAGAGTCATTTAACACTATTCATTGTTTTAAATTTAACCCATTTAAGCATCAACTATATACCGTAGCATGATGTTTTAAATGTTTAGGATAATGGATTAATGAGGCTAAAAAGACAAAGAGTCTATATTCTAGTGATTTTTCAGGTAAAATCTATCTTTGGGGAGAAAAAGAATTAGAGGAGTGGCATAGGTAGAATGGCGATTTGACTGCTAAAGGGAAATATGACCAAGGGTGGAACTTTAGAAGCTGTATAAAAGAGACGGGCAGAAGGGGTGCCAGTGGGAAGGGTCAGAAAAAGATAATGGAGCCTCAAGAACTTAAGAATGGATAACTATGTTGAGTAATATTTTAAATAGAGTACAACTATTATATTTCTAGATAGATGGGAAATTCTTGTAAAGTACAGGTTAAATTGTACAGGAATGTCTAATGTTTGTTTTATTCTTTACAGAGGTAAGAAAAGAACAAATGGTAAGTTTATGTCAAGTAATATAAATGACAGGAAAACTATTTGACTCATCATTGATTATTACCAAAAGAATATTTAATTCTTAGTAGTGTATCTTTCTAAACAAGTAATGGTAATGGTAGTTGAGCTGGTAAAAATTAGACCTAATGATGAGGGTACAGGAGTAATTTAAAAAGTAAAATTAATCAGGAAGAATAAATGTGCAAAATAGCCAAGGTAAAAGGTACCTAACCAGATGTCAAGATATATTATTAGGATGAGATATCATTGCCTCCGTAAACAAATACACACATGTTTAATTTTTATTTGCTTATAAGAAGAAAAATGTTCCCAAAGTTGAAAAGGCTTCTTAGGATCCAGAAAGATAAAGTTTGATGAATTTGATCATTACAAAAGTGTAAAATTTCTCTATGACCTAGTTTTATTAACAGTGGTGAAAGAAAAGTAACAGACTGAGAGAAGATATATGACACATGCATCATAGATAAGGTTAAAATCTAGAATATAAAAAGAACTGTCATTTAATAACTTTAAAAAGCACATTACTGAATAGAAAGGCAGGTAATACTCCAGAGACTGAGGCAAGAGAATCGCCTAAGCCCAAGAGCTGGAGGTTGCTGTGAGCTGTGATGCCACAGCACTTTACTGAGGAGGACAAAGTGAGACTTGGTCTCTTAAAAAAAAGTCTTCATCTCTAACAATTAAAAAAAAAAAAGGCAGGTAAAGGATACAGTCAATTCATACACACAGTCAAATTTTATTCAGAAATTTCTTTTCACAATAGAAAAGAAATCTGAGTGCAATGGCTTATGCTTGTAATCCCAGAGGCTTAGGACACTAAGTTGGAAGGATGGCTTGAACCCAGAAATTCAAGGCTGTAGTAAGCTATGATCATGCCACTGTACTGTAGCCTGGGAAACAGAGAGAGAGTTGGCCAATAAAGTGACAGCAACCAAGACAACATGGTAATTGTATCAACAAAAAGTTCCCTAGAACAGATAAGAGTCCAGATTTAGACTCAAAACATACAGACATATGTGGTCAATTGGTGATAGACAAAATTGCAGAGGCAATTCAATGGAGAAGAGATAATCTTTTCAACAAATAGTGTTAGAATACCTGGGTATTCATTTTTACCTTTGTAATAGGCTGAATAATGGCCACCAAAAGATACCAGCCCCTGATTCCTGAATCCTATAAATATGACTTTATAAAGAAAAAGGGTCTTAGCAGAAATGATTAAGTTAAGGATCTTTATATGGAGGAATTATCCTGAATTATGTAGGTGGACCCTAAATCCAGTTACAATGTTCTTACAAAAGAGGCAGAGGGAGACTTTGAACCATAAAGAGGATAAGCGTATGTGAAGATAGTGGCAGAAATTGGAATCATGTGGCCACAAGCAAAGGCATGCCACGCAGGTAGCCACCAGAAACTAGAAGAGGCAGAAAACAGATTCTCCCTCAGAGCGTCTGGGGGGAGTACATCCCTTCTGACATCTTGGTTTTAGTCTTCTGGCCTCAGAACTGTCAGGGAATGCATTGTGTGGTAATTTATTATGGCAGCCATAGTAAACTAATATAGTCATATATCAAAATTCACTTAAAATGGAATATAAACCTAAATGACCTAAATGTAAAACTTAAAACAGTGAAACTGCTAGTGGATAACATAAGGGAAAATATTACCCTGAGTAAGGCAAAATTTTTTTTGTGTATGACACCAAAAGAGAAAAGTTATAAATTAGACTTCATCGAGATTAAGAAATTATGTTCTCTGCAAGACGGTGTTAAGAGAATGAAAGAGCAAGCCACAGAGTAGGAGAAAACATTTCCAAATCACTTACCTTATAAAGGTAAGAATAAGTATAAGAATATATAAAGAGCCCCCAGAACTCAATAATAATCAAGTCAGTAAATTTTTTAATGATTCTAAATATGGAACAAACACATCACAGAAGACTTAGAGATGGCAAATAAACACATAGAAGGATGTTCGACATCATTAGTCACTAGGAAAGTACAAATTGAAAATGTGAGATACCACTACATGACCATTGAAATGCCTTAAGACTGACCATATCAAATGTTGGCAAAGATGTAGAACAGCTGGAACTCTCAGATACTGCTGTTTGTATTGTAAAATGATGGAATGATTTGAAAACAGTTTGGCAGTTTTCTGAAATGTCTTAGGCATACATTACCATAATATTCAGACATTCCACTGACCCATTCTCTTACACAAGAGAAACAAAAGGTATACAGAAGGTGCCAAAAAGTGTATACATATTTTAAGAAAGGAAAAAACTGTTAGAATACCCAACATAAACCAATAACAAAAGATAAATCCAAGTCACATCAAGCACCTCTTATAATTGCATAAGTCAAATGTGACTTGAGTATTATAAATAAAGTAGTTTTTTCCTTTCTTAAAATGTATACACACTTTTTGGCACCCTCTGTATATTCCTTCAAAGGCTTGTTCATAGCAGCATTT